AGTGACTGGAGTGACGTGTGCTCTTCCGATCTCCCCAAAACCCCAAAACCCCGCAAATGCAAGTCAAAGCATTAAATGGGATACGATACTATAGATAAAGTGAAATTCTTCTATTATGTATGCTTTTATGCTTACCAAGGTAGCTTTAAAGAAAAAAATATATTAAGGTGATTAGATATAATAATCCATGTACAATCAATCATATTTACCAATCCTATACACCATACTATATTGTTTCTATAATAAATTCTAGGTATAGATATTTATTACTCAATTCAATTCTTCACCAAAACATTGACTATCATTACTGAGCAGATTGGATAGCTTGCTTCCTCATAATAGTCTTACATATTAATCATCAACTATGTCCGTCTACTCATAAAGCCAGTGCTTCTCCTTCAACCTCATTTGGAAACTATCGCCTTTGAGGGCCAACACAATCAAACCACCTGCACCGAGCAACACTAAAAGTAGCAAAATGACCAGTGCTGTTAGATAAGGCTCTCTATTTGATTCTATTGTTAAAGATGAGGACTCTTCTACAACAGGGGATTGAACATTTTAAGATTCTTTTAACTCGGCCTCTGTCTCCTAATGGGTGTTTTCATTATCTTTATCAGAATTCTTAAGTTCTGATGATTAGACTTAGCTTGGTGTTTATCCATTTATTTGTGTTTCATCGTCTGGTTTATCCATATTAGTTTATGAATCAACTATACTTTAGACTGGGGCTTGCTTTGGTTATTTCTGTACTTCTTCGTCGTTATGATCTTGTTAAAATCTGATTTAGTTTCCTTAGCTATTAAGATAGGCGCCTTCTCTTGAGCCTTCAGATTAAATATCATTTTATAGTACTGAATGCTCGAGCAAATGCTCAGAATTCATTTCCCGTCTACTAATTGATGGTAGTAGGATTTTGGAGTCTAATTGGATTAATTCTTGTATATCCAAAATATTTTGATTCTCAACTGTATTACCTGATATTGAACTCAACTATGAATACTCATGTATTAAATTTTGAACGATTGAAGAATCAAAAAGGCCAATAGTGCCATTAACATAGGCGATTTGCTCTTAATTAGTTGAAAGGATAGAAGGAGTATCGGTCTAAGTAAGACTTAGGAGAGCCAATTGCCTCTGCTCCATTTAAGAAAGGATTTTAGATAATAATTCCTGTCGTTGACTAGCACATTCCTTAAGAGTCTCCATACATAGTTTACTATAGCAGCACTTAGATGCGCATTCTTCATCTCTTAAGCATTGTTCATTAGTAGCTTTATAGTATAGTAGGGGGTCGACAGATGGGGTCAGTATGGCTTAACCAGTGATTTTGGAAATACAACACAGAGCAATTATTGTTAAAAGACCCCTCGAATTTTTATTCCTTCTTTGGATAAGCATACTAATTAATTATTTTATATACATTCAAAATCTCATAAAATTAATATTTAAAATAGTTTTAAATATCCTTTTGAGCCAAAATCAGCGCATAAGGGGTTTTGGGGTTTTGGGGTTTTGGGG